AACACATCAGCTCAGATATCTGTTCAGTTTTTATTCCTCTAGCGAAGCAAAGGTCAAGTGAGACAGAACCAGAACCTTTCCCAGTGTGTGTGTGTGTGTGTGTGTGTGTGTGTGTGTGTGTGTGTGTGTGTGTGTCACAGACAGAACTTCTTAAATTAATTTAGATGGTTTCTCAAACGCATTTATGTTTGAGTTTTTTATTTTCTAGATTTTAATTGATTAATCCTATTAAAGTCCAAATTCTGTTTTTTACATAGTTGCCTTCTCTGATTTACTTTCATTCAGACCCATTTCCCCCGAAAGGACCCGGTTCTGTTAGAACCACCGCAGCTGTACTTACAAATCCGTGTTTATCAGAGATGTTGTTGGTGAGTTTGAGCTTGTGGAAGGCCACGGGCTTGGCCATCCACTGCTCCCCCGTGGCCGGGCTGTCCGGGTGGATGTACATCCTCTTGGGCATCTCCGGGTCGGCTTTGCCCGCCACCATCCAGCGGGAGTTGTGGAACTTGTAGCGGCAGTCGTCCGCTGCCACGATGTCCATGAGCAGGATGTATTTGGCTTTTTTATCCAGACCGTTAATCCGCACTTTGAACGGAGGAAACATTCTCCTGTAGGAGGAAACGGGAGTCAGCAGGACGCAGGAGAACCCAAGCAGCAGCAACTCAGAGAGAGCAGAACGGAACACACTCGGTCTGTGTTAGTGCCTAAACCAGCGTTCACCCACAACAACACACAAAAATACACGGTGCACGCGCGCGCGTGATGTGTCCAGCAGTACATTTATGACCAATCCACTCCACGTCCTGCGTTTTGATGTGACAGGCTGTTTATAAAACCCAGAAGCTCCACAGAACGGGAGATAAAACCTTATAAAATACCCACCCCCCCCAACACACACGCACACACACACACACACACACACACACACACAAAGTATCGCAGATATTAACTTTAATCAAAGTAAATTAACATTATTTCCCAATAACTTTGTCCGATGTTCCGGTTCCGGTTCGGATTCGGTCCACAGCCAGAAACTGGGCCTGAGAAGAAACTTTTAAAAGTGCTAAGGGTACCGTCACGTTTCTCCGCGGTATTCTCCAGATGTGTTTCCGTTTATTAATGAAATAATACTTCAATAGTGCGCGCGCGAGTGTAAAGGCCATGTTTAAACGTGTCAGCAGCTCTGAACTCATCAGCTGGTTTTATTAAAACGGATCCTGCATAAACCCTGGTCTCCAGGGTTCTTACCTTCCAGACTTGGTAATGACCATCTCCGTTCCCAGTTTGTGGAACTGGTCCCACAGATCTTTGGCTTCCAGTGTAACTTTTGGGTCGTCGTCCACTTCTTCCTCCGGCTCCAGGCTCTTCATGCTGCGGAGATGAGCCGCCTGGTGATGGCTGAGGGCCGGGTGGAGCGCAGCCTCGGCCGCCCCGGCCAGGCCGTGGTCCGGGATGGGCTTGGTGAGCGCCCCGGGAGGCAGGCTGAGCGCCGGGAAGAAGGAAGGCTGCGCGGCCGCTAGAAATGCGGACATGGGGAAGTCGGTCGGCCGGTGTGCGTGGAAAGGGTGATAAGCCATTACAGTCCCTGTAAAAACTGGATCTCTCATCGGTGCATCCACAGAAACCGAAGTGAAACGACGGATGTGGTGGTGGTAGTATCTCCTTCGCGCGGCGCGCTACGGTGCGGCGGCTCTTCCCGGTACCGTGGCGGCTACTGAAGGGTGCAGCCGCCGGACAAACACGGAGCGTGTTCTCTGTGTGAAGAAATTCCCAGTTCTGGTGCTGATGTGTCTCTCCGTCCTGGGATGAGTCGCTTAGTGGAAGTGGCGCTGTGACGGCTGAGCCCGGCTGCTTCACTCATCCCACCCAGACTGGAGAGATGTGGTCCCGCTCAGTGCGGATCTGCGTCTATCTCACATGTCCTTCCTGCCTCCGTCCACAGCTCTAATGAACCAAGCCCCTTTGATTGCTGATTTTACGCTTTCTAGACCAATTGTGGGCCCCTATAGGCGTGGTTCTGACAGCTCCGGCCAGACTCTGGGAGAGGGAGGAGGGAGGGAGGGGGGTAAGAAGGTGTCGGAAGCATTAGCAGTAAGAAAACATGTCAACAGAATAAAATATTAACCAATGACAGGAAAGATCGGGAAATCCCACCCCCAGCTCCAAGCCAAGCGCCGGGTCA